AAAAAAAAAAGAACCCAGAGCCAAATATTGGGGTGAAAGATCAGAGAAACAGAACAAGCCACAGCCAACCTCACCTCACCAACTCCTCAGTCAATTCTGTTTCCACAAATCCTCAGACTGAAAGCCTTTGAGTCCTCACCCCTGAGGGTCTCAGTTGAACTCCTGCTCAGTTCCTGTCTCCTCACACCTTGTATACCGTTCTCCACCCAGTCACGTCACTTCCTGGGATAAAAGGCGTGTGTGCTTTCCATGCAAAGGCGTGAGATCTCAAGTGCTGGGATTAAAGGCGTGTGCCACCACTGCCTGACTGTTCCCAGTATGGCCTTGAACTCACAGAGATCCACCAAAACTTTAAAATGGGGGGGTGGGGAAACTACACATGATACAGACCTAGGAATTACCAGCATGAACTTAAGAGCCCCCTGACCTGCACGTTCAAATCCCAGGGTGGAGGGGAGAAGACGTCAGTGAAGAGGACAATTTTACCAGAAGATTCCGTTTTAGTTTGAAGTTCAAAAAAATATGTATCTTATGTGCATGAGTGTTTTGCCTGGTGCCCAGAGAGCCAGAAGTGGGCATCAGACATATAGATAGTTATGAGCAGCTGTGTGGATGCTGTGAACGGCACCCGGGTCCCTCGTAAGAGCCACAAACGCTCTAACTCCAGATCCATCACCCCAGCTCCAGGACTGGAAACTATAATGAATCAAAAGAAAATTCTCAAACTGAAAGAAAAAAATACAGCGACTGAAATGAAGAGCTGAAGACACTGGATGGAGCTGTGAATGGGCAGGACAAACAGCAATGTGAGGGTTGGTGGAATGTTGTGTCGTGGAAACCCAAAAGCTGGAGATAAGAGCCCAGGTGGGGTGGGAGGCACAGTCTGAAAGTCCCTCTCAGATTCTTATGCTGAGGTCCTAACCTCCAAAGTGTTGGAACATCTGCTAAGCAGTTGAGTCAAGACGAGGAGACCTCCATGTTGGCCTGACTCACTTATGAAGGAGGCCTGAGGGAGAGCCCAGACTCCATCATCCCTGTGAGGACAGAGCAAGAAGGTGCCATAGTGAGCCTGCATCAGACACTGAGCACACCTCAGTGCAGCCTTCCAGCCTCCAAAACTGCAAGAAATGAATCACTACTGCTTCAAAGCAGTCCAGAGACAGCAGAAGAGCAGCATTTAGCATGGCCGTGAGCCTCGGGAGCTGCTACCTAAGGGCCACTTACTGGCGCCTGCTCCGTCGGCTGGGGGTTCCTGATGCT